GGCCGGCCCAGCGCCGGCTCGGGGGAGCCCGCCCGGGCGGGGGCTGCGGGGGGCCGCGGAGGAGCTTGCCCGGCCTGAGCAGGGGGCTGGGAGCGGCGGCCTTCAGCCCCGTACCCGTGTGGGCCACGGCGCGCTGTGCTTGAGAGGTGCTTTGGCGGTGTGTGTGGTTGCCTTGTACTGTAAAACAAGAGGAAAAGCCGCTGTGAAGGAGGAGCGAGTATTTGTAGGCTTGAATATCGGGTTGTGTGTCTGTGCTCAGAGGTGTTAAGCTGAGCTACGCCGGAAGGGGTTAGCGTTTTGTCACGACGCGGTACAACGCAAGTTCCGTGGTTGTAGGATGTCCGCGTTTTCTGTACGCTGGCTGTTAAACCTGCGGTGCTTGTCTTTCGGGATGCTCTGACACGTACTTTTGTCTCCACGTGCAGACGTGTGGTGCGCAAATCCATCGCCAGAGTCCTGACTGTTATCAATCAGACCCAGAAGGAGAACTTGAGGAAGTTTTATAAGGTAAGTCCAAACATCTTAGATAGCACTCTTTTTTCTTTTACTATTTCCAAATATGTAGTGTGTAGGAAGAAACTAATTTTGTAAATTGTTACTTAGAAGCTTAAAGCTTGAGAAAAAAATACTCATTTATATTCAGTTTTAAAGTTTTGTAGTCATGGGTCCTTTTTAAATATTATTGCAAGGCTACCCTGGATTCTGTAAGCTCGGTGTGAATCTGCTTTTGCCAGGGGAGTCCTCTGGGCAGCCTCCCTTCTCTGGGGTGTAGTATACTTTCTAGGAGATGCAGTTTCCAGAAATGCAGATACTCTCCTAAATTTTAATCATGTTGCAGGTGACCAAGGAATTCTTTATCTCGATAAGTTTCTATAATTTTTACAATATTACTTCTTGGGGTTCGAATTATATAGAATAGGAAAAAAAGAACTTTTCAAGAGGTGTTGGATAACTGGGACTTGTAAGATTAAGCGTTACTTAAACCTGAGTCACAGCTAGTACAACTGGTACAGCAGTTGGAATCAACTCAGGTTTCCCACTGGAGAGAAGCTCTCTTAAGCTCCTAGACTGTGCTGATAGTCGCAGTAAAAAGGAGCTGAAAGCGCTGCTGCTGCTGTTGTTCTTACAGACAGCTCCGCTCGCTCTGGGCTCGTGCACCCGATGTCTGCCTTGCCGTCTCTCAAACTCAACTTGTGTATTTTTGCAAACAGGGCAAAAAGTATAAGCCTCTTGATCTGCGGCCAAAGAAGACTCGTGCCATGCGACGCAGGTTAAATAAACATGAAGAAAATCTGAAGACCAAAAAACAGCAGCGAAAAGAACGTTTGTACCCTGTCCGGAAATATGCCATCAAGGCATAAACCTGCAGTGTGCCGAAAGTTCTTAATTACATTGGCTGAGTATGTCTCATTAAATAGATTTTTGTTTGGAAGCTGTCACTGGTGGTTTTTTTAGTAGTGGTGGGATAAAGAAGTCACCAGCTTTATGAAGAGAAATCGGAGGGTTCACAGAAAGTTTCGTTGAACTTTTATTGCTAATGAAAATACTAACGTAACTTGGGGTTTGGGATTATTCTCCTTCTTGAAGAACAGGCAGATGAGTACAGATCTGTGAAGCTGGTTCAAATTAACACGTGAAAAGTATTTCACTGGAGATTGATTTATAATGGAAGCTTCACACAGATGCTTACAGTGAGTCGGTATTCGTCACTTCAGTAGCTTAAGAGTAAATGTTTAAAGTTTTTGTCTTGTCCCGGTGTTTAAGTGTTACGGAGGGGAATTAATTTGCTGAGGTGTTTTAGCGGATTTCATTGAAACTGAAGAATTCCATCAGCGCTTGTTTTGGACCCTCGCGCCAAAGCATCCCCGTCCGTCCCCGGCTCGGGCGGATGCGGTAGGCAGTGGTTTGCCTGGCCCTGCCTGCAGGCCGCTTCAGGCCGGCACCTCGGGTGGCTGGCGCTCGTCTGACCAGCGCGGCGGCGAGGGTGGCCGGAGCACTGCTGCGGCCTCCTTCCCGGGAAGCTGCGGTGTTGGTCAGGAAACTGGGTTCCAGCATCCTCCTCCAGATTTGTTCCCGCTTGCAGCTGATTCAATCTCGGCAAACAGCTCCTGGAATTCAGAGGGTGCTCTCGGGGTGAAGGCGAAGGTGGCACCCCGCCTCGCCTGTCAGCAGGGCTGCGTTTGGGACGCAGGACGCCTGGTGGGTCGGTGCCCGGCTGCGCAGGGGGCCTGCGGCAGGGCGGCTTGCAGGCAGTAACCTGCACGAGCTGCAACGCTGCCCGCTACGAAGTCTGCAGGCTGACGCTGCGCTCGCCCTGCCGGTTACGAGCGTAAAGAGGACGTGTTTCTAGTGGCACGCAGGTGTTTCTTTTGGATGAGAATAGTCGGACCAGGCTGCTGTCAGCCTACGGCATTACCCGCTGCGGGATGGGAAGGGAGGGAGCACAGTTCCATTTAAGCGTTAGGAAAATGTAGGGGACGCAATCGTTTCAGACCGAGCGTTCTTTTTGTGTGCATGCGAAGACTGAAGTCACATGAAATCAGGAAACCAGACTTGAGAAAAGCTGAACTAGATCGTTACCTCCAAAGCTGCAAGGCGCTGCCCGGTCTCACAATCCCACGCTTTCACCTGTGAAGCGCTGAACTGGTTAAGTGGTGTGACTTCCTGCGCCCCATGGAGTTCGTTGGAACTCGGAGATGGAGCTGCGATTCCAAAGGCCTTTTTTGGTTGTGATGTAAGGAAGAGTTACGCAGCGCTGCTCGAGCATTAGTGATGCAGCAGTCATGGTTTGTGTTAGTGTAGCTAATACATTCTAACATGAAAAATTCTCTGCCCGTTAGGGAGTCCTTCGATTGGATCCAGATTCTGTTTAGGAAAAAGATCTTAATTCTGCTTGCTGAACTTCACGTGGATCTGAAGGACTTTTAAGCCTCAAACAAGTTCTAACCAGAGAGAGGTCTAATTATGTGCGGTAAAGTGAGTTTCCCATATATTGAGCTGTTACGAGGGATAGCTTTACAATGATGCTCACGCTGGCTGCGCGATAGCTTTGTTAGGAACTTGGCGTGGGTCTGAAGGCGACACGTTTGGCAGCCGAGGAGGTCCCGCCTGGCCCGGCTCTGGGCCCAGCTCTGCGTGGGTCCAGGCAGCTGAAGCGTGCCGTAGGGTGCAGCGTTGCGTGTGGAACTGGCTCCTTTGGCTCACGTTCGTGTCACCGCAAAGGCGTGCAGGGTTACAAAGTGCTTTGCCTTGCCGTTTGTGAATATCCTGCCGTGGCCAGCAGCAAGCTGCTCCTGGGGGAGCGCGTGCTTTCACCCGGCGCGCGTGGCCCTGCGGGAGGAGAAGGAGCGCGCCACTGCGAGGATGCCAGATCCGCACACCCCTGTCCCAGGAGCCTGATGCCTGAAAGAGGCGAGGGAGAGGCGGCTCCCCCGTGCTGGGAATTGGGCAGGCCGGGGCAGGCTGCTTCTGTCAGATCGTGCCCAGCTGCGTTTGGGCTTCTCCTTTGGAGAGGCGTTGTGTACCCCCGCGCTCCTCCGGCAGCGTGTCCGAGGGGAGCCTGGCAGCTCTTACCAGCATTCCTGACACGGAAAAGCAAACGCAAGTAACGTTGCCGTGATGGCCTTCCAGAGTCCGCTCCTGGATGGCGTGTGTTGGCTTGAAAATGGGGGACGGGAAGAAGGCGGACGCCCTGCAGAGCCTCTGGTGACAACATCAGAGTGCGCTTCAGGTGAAGTGGCTGTCGCCTTCCACCCGCAGCACTGCCTAGAGAGGGTCCTCTCTCAGAGATCTGACTGTGAGACCGGTCACTAACGTGCCATTTACCAGTCAGTAACAAGAGGGGGATAAAAGAGAAGGGAAAAAAAACAATTAGCAGGCACTGAATATCCAAGAAGTCCCAGGTTTGGGTAGCAGCATCGTGCCCAGAGAAGGCTCTAAACACGTGCTGAGCTCCAGAGACCAAATGAATCGCAGCTTGAAGCCAAAACCTCTGAATCCCGAAGTCGCAACCGGGAGGGTTTTGCTGGTGTTCGTGTGTCTACGGTTCTACAAGGCGCAGTTACAAAGATGGAATAATTCAGGTCGGAAGGCTCCTCTGGAGGTCTCCAGTGCAACTGCCTGCTCAGAACAGGGCTACCTCAAAGGTAAATCGGTTTGTACAACTTCTCAGGTATCTGATGGGGTTTCGGTTACAATCTGCTGTATTTTCAAAGCTTTTCTGTGCACCCTTGTGAACGGAGAGCAAAAGGGAGGGTGCTCAGCTCGGTGCCACCACAGCCCATCCCGCGGCACTGGGCTGGGCGCAGCGTTCGCTGCCCAGGGCGAGCTTTGCCCCTGCCTCCTGCGCAGAGGGTGGATGTGCGGAGCGCGGGACTGCTCCCTCGGGAGAGGGGCCCTGGCGCAGCGCCCTGCTGTTGCGAGGGGCGGTAGGTGACTGGCCCGGCGCTCGCTGGGGAGCCGGAACTGCACCCAGGAGCCATCCCCACGCCAAAGCGGGAGTCGATACGGGAGAACAGCTCAAGCTTCGGTCTGTGCACAGTCCACGCCAGGTATTTAAGGAGGTAAATGGGTTTCTGGCACTGCACTAAATCCTGGGGCTGGATTACTCCATCCACCCATAGCAGGGTGGCAAAACCAGCCAGTCCAGCCCTTTCATCAGAATTACCCTGTGCTGTTACAGAAGACGTCCCATGGACGAGCAGCCCTTTACATTATCGGGAACAACATACGGATTGAATGGGTGCAGAGGTGAGGTGACGGGCTCTAGCGCAAGCTTCCTCCAGGGCGCAGGTGGAGAAGATCCGTGTTACTGCTGTGAGAGCGAGGTGGATGCCTGGCCTGGCCTGCGCACCAGGTCGCAGGGCGGTCAGCGGTCTGTGCCAGTTCCCGCTTTACCTGCCAGCCCCGGAGGACAGCCGGGTGGTCCCAGCTCCCTGGCCAAAGCTGCTGCTGCAAAACAGCCGGCTGCAAACTCTGCAAATGTGTTGGAGGGGGAAGCAAAAACAACTAAGAGCAGAAAACTAAGGTAAATGCGCTGGCCCACAGCCTGCGCCCGTGCCGGTGCCGCCCTGGCTCGGTGGTGCCGGCTGTGCTCGGGGAGCACGTGGAGGAGTACCTGCGTGGCCACGGGGCTGCCCGGGCCTGAGCATGGCCAGGAGGGAGAAGCCCCGGCAAAGGGCAGCCCCCCCCCCAAGCACCCCAGGGCTGCGCTGCCTTCACGGGGACCAGGCAGCACCACAGGCAGCACCGCGGGCAGTGGGGGCTCTGCCCCCCTCTGGCACGGCACTGCCTGGGCATGGTGGGGGGTGCTTGGAGCCCCTCTCCTGGGGGACCCTCTCCTGCGCTGACCCCGCACAGCTGCCGATGCTGGCCCTGGGTTTAGCACCGGTGTTTGCAGAGCGTCAGGGCCTCCAAGGCTCAAACTGTTTATTTTTTCCTTGTAACTGAAGATGTCCCTCAGCATTAGAGCAGACTTCCCAGGGAAAGCTGTTCTTCAGCAAATAAATAATTTCCAGGGTGGGGATGAGGAAGGAGGAACAGCCGCCGGCTGACTGCGGGGCACGGCCCAGGGCTGATGCCACTGCGAAGGGAGCCCTGGCCGCGCGCCCTGGAAAGCGTTCAG